AATGAATTGGATAATGTAAAGGAATGAGATGCATTAAATATTGTATGTGCCAAATAGGAGCAATCCTATTCTTTACCCCAGACATAAACAATATTGACTAATCCTATTCATGTTTATTGAATCCGTGGTTATAGGCTGGGAGGATACCGACTCTCACTTTGGAGCTCCCACGTTCCCCTCGCCTGAGGGCTAACATCTCTGCTTCAGTACTCAAACAATAGGACCAAATTTGGGATTTTAGTCTGTCACCCTAAAATCTCTAATTCTACGCCCATCAAATTATATTTCCCTATGTATTTGCATTCAACTCCCATGAACTTAACCATCCATGGAATCTGAATGTGGCTCTACTTTGTTGAGAATTACACAGCACTCTCAGGTTTTAATGCAATTACAACAATATTACAATAAATTTTAACACTACAAAAGGCCTTTATTGTAATGTAAATAAAGTTCAAGTTAAAATCATTTCATTTATAATTAAATCCACTTCTAACATGCATCACAAAATCCTAAACATGAATTCTACTCATTACAAAAGAAAAGTAAAATGAAAACAATGGCATAATCTTCTATTTAACCAAAGAAAATCCACTAAATAAGTGTTTACAAAAATCAAAAGATAATGAAGAACACAATACTTACCTTTTTTCCTTTGAAAGAAAGACGAATATCTCTCCCATAAAGTCTCCCATCGATCCATGCAATGCTAGAACATCTCCTTACAAATTCTCTCAAAATCTCCTCTCCAATCTCTCCAAAAGGGTAGAAATCTACATTTTTACTCCTACTCTAAAAACCTTAAACTTTCTCCACACTTATCCTAACATTCGTCTCACAAAAAAACCCTCTTTTTCTAACCTAAATTTGTTATTTTAAAGTGTAGGGATGAAGTTTGAAGAGTTACCACAAGTATCCTTTCAAAAAGCGTCCAAATATGTTGAATTTTGGCCTATAACCACCAAAAGTCGGTCCATAGTCGTCTCGGGCGCCGTCGGCGGGCTTGAGGACGCTATCAGTGGGCTTTTCTGTCATTTTTTGGTCTCCTCGGGTAAATCTCGCTGTCGGTGCCTTTTTGGGCGCCGTCGGCGCCGTTTTGGGCGCCGTCGACAAGCAAACTTCGCAGCTCCACCGTTTCGCTCCATTTGGCTCCGTTTTAGCTCTATTTTGCCCCATTTCAGTTGCATTGTGTTCCTAACAGATAGCCCTACAAAATAAGCATGAAAACAACCTTCCTTTAAAGTGTAATATCATTCAAAAATATGCAAGAAGTTTAAAAGAGATTAAGCATTGAAAGACTTATCGAAATGTGACAGGGAAAAATTTCATTTTTTGCTCGTTTTTGCTCCAAATTGCACCGTTTTTGCATCTTTTTGCTCAAATGACCATAATTCATCATATCTGCAACAAAACGTCAAAAATACCCTTCTTTAAAGTGTAATATCATCAAAAACAGTATAAAATAGGTATGAAAATTGTAACTTATTTTCCTTTGGTCACATATCAACGGACCCTCTGAATTCTCTAGGGCCAATGATATCAATCTCTTTTCTGAAGAGTATATTACTTTTACTGAGAAAAAACACTATGCAAAAGGGTCTAACGAAATCGTGATGGTCAATATGGGGAGGAATGTAGCTCCCTTCATCATAAATATTGACGATGCAACTGTTTAGGATGCGGTCTGGCAGAAGTATACTCCATCGAATTAATCTTTTAACCATTCTCTTTATCACATAAGGCATCGAATCCACCTCATCGTATCTTAAGATACCAGGGGGGTTCCCTTGTCTGTCTTCAACGAAGTTGTAGCAACGACCACATTGAATGGTTTCTCTACCTTTCCCATGCATCCACTTTCTAGGTTCTGCATATGTTCTTGGCCTCAGTAGACCAGCTCGGCCCCTAGCTTGCAGATCAAATACATAGTCCAAAATCCACTTCTCATCATTCTCTGAGAAGACGCTAGTATATATGTTGACCATTTCACCTCAAACTTCTTTGTACGCCTTCCAATATGTTGACCATTTCACCTCAAACTTCTTTGTAGAATTGAAATTCTCTTTGCTTTACCCCGCACATTCTCTCTATCTTAGCTGTAGGAATAACATCAAATGGTTAGGGCAGCCTTCTTGTTTCAACCTCTTCAACGACCAGTGTCTACTCTGTATCTGCAAATTTTGGAATATATGACTCAACGTCTGTATGTGCTGCCTTGTCACCTCCAGCTTTGGCTGCTGTAGATTCTTGCGCTGAACTGTCCAAGTGTAGAATATTGCACCCTGGGCATTCTACAAATGCTCGTACGGTAGATGATCCTGTGGGTAGTTCTATATTACACATTGGACAACCTCTATAGGACTCACGGGGTACATCCATCTGCATCAACTCTGAGGCCTAATCTAGCTCATCCTTTGTATTTGGTAGACTTGAAGAGGTTTCTTTCTTAGGTGGTTCATAAATCCTTCCCTCAAGAATTAGGGTAAGTAATCCAGCTGCATCTCTTCGCCTTCTTCTTTCTTCCCATGTGAAGGCTCTATGTTTTCGTCGGTTGGCATTGCGATGTTGCATTCTTTGAAGTGGTGCATCAGACACTCTATCCTCATTAGCACTTATTACATTCCCCGTTGGTGCAGTTATCAGGGACTGTAACCGATTGGTCCCTTCCATTGGGTATTGCTGAGTGACCACCTTCTTCCTCTTTCACGAGGAGTCATCTTCAGCTCCTATTTTCAGCAAAGACGGGAATCCTTATTTTTCTCGCCACCTGACAATGTCCATCAGGGGACCTTCATAAATTACATCAACCTGACCAAAGTCAAAATTGAGGTCTTTGACGCCACCCAGAGTAGACCTTTCCCTATTTAGTGTGAGATTTAAGCCATTTCTGAAAGAAAAGATCAGTTTATGCTCCGACATTTCTTTTGCAAAAGACAGAAAAAATATCAGTGAGCCGACATCCAACATGAACAAGAACAAAAAAGAAGCCTAAAAAATTTTGATAATTGAAAAATTTTATTCATTCAATTTTATTTAATTTAATTAGATTTAGAAAGGAAACATGAAACAAAAAATTAAAATGGGCAATTTCAAAATTTTCAATTTATTGAGGTTAATTACAAAATTTTGGACCCGAAAATTTTGGACCCGGTCATAGATGTTTGGCAAAATAAATAACCCCAAAATAATCAAAATTTTAAAAAGGAAATGTTGATTTCGAGAGGCATCATGATGAGTAGTGATACACATAAAATATATAATACTTTTAGACACATTTTTATACCTATTTTTGAGATATTGCGCTTTAATGCTATTGTTTATATATGACGCTTTAATAGAATGTATTTCTGTGTTTTTCTTGCAGATACACGTAAAAAAAAGGTGAAAAATGCTTAAAGGAGTGAAAAATGATCAAATTTGGAGCAAAAAGGTGAAAAATGTGCAAATGCATTTTAGCGCCTAAGCGCCAGATCCGGCGCTTAAGTGTCGGTTAAATAGAGAAGGACGTGACTAAGCGCTAGAGGTCCCGAACTTAAGCGCCAGTGGCAGCTACTAGATGAGTAAAGTCTGTTTTTGTGAATTTTGAAGAGGTTTTTGAGGCACGCATTGGCTTAATAGGTGGTTATAACCACCCTGGAAGAAAATTATCACAAAAGGATGCATCTCTTAGGGAAATACATCAAATCTAGACAAATTTTGAAGAGTTTCTAGGGCACCACTTGGAAAATTATAACATAAAGATGAGAGGACTTTGAAAAGAGTCCTGAAAATACTTGGAAAATTTTGAAAGTTCATCAATTTTGGGAGTTAGTTTGGAGAGATTTTCAGGCATCACTTTTACTTTTATTTTATCCTTTTTGTTAGTTTATTTTGAGTGATTTTAAAAGAGAAGAGTTTCAAAGGAACTTCAAGAGTTTGGTGGAGAACTTGAGATAAGTTTTTATCTTTTTCCTTTGAGACTTCTTTGGTTTTAATTGAGACTTGTTGTTGGTTTAACAATGATTTCTTCTTTTAAACTAAAGTGTGATTTTATTTTGAGTAGTTTTCTTTATCATTCTTCTTGAAATGATAAGTAATTAAGTTGTGGATGAAAATTGTGGAGAGTATTGATCTTTAATGTTGGAAGAAGTTGTGATGTTTTAAATCGATGCACTTCATTTACTTCTTGATTTGGCCAATCCAGATGTTAAAATTTGTTGTGAGAACATGTAAGAACCGGGCTGGTATTGTCTCAGTCAACAATTGGAAAGAATCATATGAGGTTGTATGAATGAGACTGTAGTTCATATGATTGAGTGCAAATAAATAGGGAAATATTCATTGAGGGGTGTAGAGTTAGAGGACTTTAAAGTGACAGGTTAAAGCCCCCAACTTGGTTTATTGTTTTAGGTTCTGATGCAAGAATGTTAGCCCTCAGGTGGAGGGAATCGATGGAAATCTAGAGTGAGAGTCAATATCTTCCCTATCTAGCCGGTCTTCAGAACTATTCAAACTTTAAATTAACTAATGTTCTTTATAGCAACTCTAATACGGGTAAAGAATATTATTGCTCATATTTGGCTCAACACAATTTGCATACTTCAAAACAAAATTCTTATACTTATTACTGATTTATGATAAGAAGAAAGATACTTTTCTTATTAAGTACTTTTCATCTACAAAACTCTAGTTATCTTTTTAAGTTGTTACTATTTTGTCAAAATATCAAAAATATCAAAAATATTTGAGTTTTTATTACTGCAAAATATATTCAGTTTAAGTAATTGTCTTTTTAAAAATAGAAAGTTTCTAAAACTGCATAATGTTAAAATTACTTGGTTCGATATTTCTTAATCAGAAAGTCCTATATTACTTGATAATGATATGTATACTTGCGTATTATCCCAATATATATATAAATTAAAAGTTAAATTCTTATTTTTCTTCAAGATCAAGTTTTTGGTTTTGTTGTAAAGTAAGTAAATATAAGTGAAATATAATCTGAATTATTGCTGTACTTTGCATAATAGAAGTATCAAGAGGGATCAGGTAGTATATCTTCAAGTAGCGGCTGTTAACCGGCAACATAGGTCATTCGCTCCAGAAATCCACCAGTTGGTAAAATCCTTTTGAATAAAGTTTTTCTATGACAAATGGTCCCTCCCAAGTTGGTTCAAATTCCACCTATTTTACGGTGTGTAAGAATAGGTCTTTTAAGAACAAGAACGAGGTCAACGACTTTGAATTCCATTGGGCAGACCAATTTGTCATGAGCCTGCACCATCTTTGCTTGGTAGAGCTCCAAGTGCTGATGTGCTTCTAGTCGTTTTCCCTCGAGAATTTCCAATTCCTTAAGCCTGAGTTTTGCATTTTATTTTGTTGTGATTTGATTGGCAATGACGACTCTGAGAGACGGTGTCTGAACTTCTAGCGGTAGTACGACCTTAGACTCGTACACAAGCGCATAGGGTGTACATTGAGTGGGAGTTCTGAATGTCATCGGATAGGCCCACAAAGCTTCTAATAGTCTGTTATGACAATCTCTTTTATTTTTATCCAATGTCTTCTTTAAGATTTGTACCAGTGACTTTTTGAACGCTTCAACCAATCCATTTGCTCTAGGATAGTAATTTGTTGAGTACCTCCAATCTATCCTATGTTGTTTGACGAAGTTATTGATCTTCGTGCTCTTGAAGGCTATCTCATTATCGAAAATCACTTTACATGGAATATGAAAATGTTAGACAATATTGGTTTTAAAGAATTGAAGGACGTGCTATGCTGTAACCTCTCATAACGGCACTGCCTCTGCCCATTTGGAAAAGTGAAAAGTAATCCCTAGCAACGCCCTAGCAACGAGATTAAATCTATGTCCCTTAGAGGATGGAGGGTCTATCGGACCTATTATATTTGTGCCCCAACACTCGAATGATCATGAGGTGACAGTTGGGTGTAGCACATTTGAAGGTGGGGTAAGACCACCCCATGCTCTTGGAAAAGGTGACATCTTCTAACTGTATCCATACAATCAAAATTGCTGGACAATAATATCCGAGTCTTTTAATATTCTTCTTCATCTTTGGCCCTGACTAGTGAGCACCACACAATCCGGCATGCACTTCTTTGACATTATTTTGTGCTTCTGCTATGCTCAAACATCGCAGCCACATCTGATCGAATGGCCTCTTATAGAGAACATCTCCCACCAGGGTATAAGAAATAACTCTTCTTGTTATGTGACATGCCTTAGACTTATCCTCTAGCAACTTTTCGATTTGCAAATATTCTATTAATGGTTTACGCAAATCCTCATTGATTTCAGCAACTGCAATCATCATTCCTTCTTCCTTTTCGAGCTTATGTAGATTATTGAGGTCAATTTGAGACAAGACTCGTCTTCCTTGTACTGTAATATTAATGGAATCCTCTGGTGGACATGCCAGCTCCTTAGCAAGTTTTGCTAGAGCGTCGGTATGTGTGTTATCTCCCCAAAGAATCCTATATAAAGTTATATTAGGGATCTGCTCTAACAACTTCATCAAGTACTAATGGTATTATGTTAATCTTGGTTTTAAAATATTGTATTTTCCAAAAACATGTTGAATGATAAGTTGAGAGTCAGCATAGATGGCAATATCCGTTATATCCATTGAGATTTCCAATTCCAACCCGGTGATCAATTCTTCATATTTTGCTTCATTATTTGTACACAGCTCTGTCAGGTGATAGGAGAAGCTCAACATGCCCTTATATGGCGTGATGAAAATTAGACCAATCCCTACTTTACCTCGTATAACTATTTTTGATCCTTTATCTTTCCTGGCTGAAGAAGCTCCATCGAAATAAATCTCCCAATGCCTGACACTGGAGGGCTCTATTTGCAATATCTACGCATCTCGTAGTTCATCGTTGAGTGGGGACCCAGCTAGAAGTGGGTGTGCAACAAGAAAATCTGCTAAAATCTGTCTCTTGATAGCGCGAAGGGGAACAAAAGGTATATCAAATT